AAATTAAAGTTTAAGATTTAACATAATTAATTCTTATGATTATGAATTGATTATATATTGACGTGATTAAGCCATGTACTAATGTTTACCTATTAGTTAGATGATCTTTGAAAGATATACATGGTCATGATGTCAATGCATGATTAATGTTATGAAATGGCATGAAGATGCAATGTAATACATGTTTTAAGATGATGAATGTGAGCAAGAGGTAATGTAAATGGATTGATAATCCATAGATAAATTAAAAGTATTAAGCTCACCAAAATATGTATTTACATGCTATAAGATGTTAGAGATGCATATAGACATGATGGAAAACGCGTAAGCATATTCTCATATACCGGTTGAGGAAAGATGAATATATGCTTTAGATGCTAAATAACGCGTAAGCACGTCTCCCGATGATATGAGTTCTAGATGAATTTGAGGCTAGATGATATGAAGTGCTTAAGACGCTAAGAAATGTCAGATCGGCTACACGTTAAATGTTTCATATGCATTTAATTGCATTACATGAGTTATGATGTTATTTTACATCATGAGATGATTTATACTCATGTTGATGATATTTAGATGTTATATCATGACATGTAATGTGTGTGTACTATGTTTACATACTTATTTGTATGTGTATGCATTGATATTTATATAGCCATGGGATAAAATGATGAAAAGCAAATGAATTAGAAAAAAAGGGAGAGAGGGGGTGTGGTTAAGTATACCTAGATGTAAAAGATAAGTGATGTGTTAACAAATATGTTTAAATGAAGGTCAAACAGCACATTTAGAATGAAATGGATCATTCCTTACTGAGCGATTATCACTCACCTTTTCATTATTGATTGCTTTGCAGGTAGACCAGAAGCGAAGGATGCTAGAGATAGCAGGGCTACACATGAGGGGAGATGATTTATTGTCATCTTGATGCTTTTATCTTGATGTAAATAATGTAAATGATAAATGTTTGTGAAACACCTTTGGAAGCATCCACCCTATAAATATGTTTTAATTGTGTAATTTCTAGATAAATTCTTAAAGTTTTTGAAATTATAAGTTTGGATCCTGCGTGACATCTTATATACATGTTTTGGATATTATTATTATTATTATTATCCTTACACAGGTTTTTTCTAAATACAACTCGTTCTCCAGACATGTATCCTCGAGATTCTTATTGAGGGATATTCAAAGGATACCTGACTAGAGGGGGGGTTTTACAAGAGGGGATAAGAAAGATGAGGACAAGAAGAAGAGACAAAAAGAGAAGGAGAGAGAACAAAAGAAATTCTCTCCGGTCCAAAGTCAGGTCCAAATAAGAAAAAAAAAATTGGAGAGAACCTCCTCCGATCACTGGGGAAACCCATCTTTTGTATCCCAATATCACACAATCAGATAAAATATCAGTGGACGTAGGCCTTATTTGTTTCCTAGACAAACCACTTTAAAAACGTCTAGGTTTGACACCATCCTCTGGGAGGCCATCACCACCTTGGCCATCACCGCATGTGGATCAAGTCCCTCTTGCTAGTTCCTCGAAATCACACTTCCATCTTGCTCTGTTCTCCCCAGAGTCAATCAAGTATCTCTAGTTGATGCATGTCTTCGTCCCGGCGCTTTCGTTGGTGCGGAAATTCGAATCAACACCTTAGTTATGTATATTTCAGAAACTAGAAATTGCATCTAATCTTGTGTATATAAAAGGATGATGAGTTTAGATAGGCCTAGATATTTGTGCATATTCTTAGGCTAGTTTGATAACTATACGTTGTAATAACTCTACATTTTCTCTTTTTTCTATAGTAGCAGTTGATGAGTGCCTAAGGCATTGTTTTGTTAGTTGATTGTGGTAGTTGGTGGATTGAGATGGGTCAAAGGTCCTTTTGGAGCGTTTGGGTTTGGGATTTTATAAGTTGTAAAATCTTGGGATGTCCATGAGATTATATAGTTTTGTTTAAGGGGGCGTTTGGTTGGGGGTTATATGGGATTACAGAGGTAACGTTATGTTATATTACTTGATTACCATGTTTAGTTGTCAAATAATATAAGATTCTGGTAATCTTCCAATACCAATAGTAGTTACTGTTGGTAATATTTGAGGTAATCTGATTGAAAGATGGAATACATAGAGAATGATGCATGTGATACTATAACATGTGTATTCATATTTTCCCAAAAAAATTCAATCAAATTGAAAATAAGTAAGGTATAACTTGTTACCTCAAGTCCTTAGCAACCTTGGAGACTTTTAATTTCAAGAGAAATTAAACAAAAGAGTATCCACACTAAGGTAAAAGAAGAATTAGGCCAAGAGAGACATTTAGGGTTCTAAGAAAAAAATTTATCTCTATCCTAAAATTGATATATCATTTTCTTTATATATGTGGCCTTGTAAACAATTCAATAATTGTTTTGGACTTCCTTAAACAATTCCATAATTGTTTTTGGAGTTGTAAATAATTCCATAATTATTATGTAGTTGTTAAACTTCTTTAAATAATAACATTGGATTAACATTTAATCACAACTAACAATTTAACTCTTAAATTGTTATGTTAAATTGTTTACATAACAATTTAACTTTTAAATTGTTCATATGTTTACAATTACAACCCATTATTAAATCCAATTTAATATAAAGAAAATGATTAACTATGAATTGGAATTCCATTTAATTCCAATTAGCAATTTAACTCTTAAATTATTCATAATAACTAATATAACCCTCCATTGAATCTAATTCAATGATAATAATATAAATAACTTTATTACCCTTGGTAGGTGCAAGCCAACCTTGGATAATTAACTCTCTTTGGCTATTTCTCCATTCTCCATTCTCCTTAGTTTTTATGTGTGACCTCTTAGGTTCACTGTGGCCTAGCCGTGGGCCCAATATCATAGTCTATTTTGATATGTTTTGTCATAAATCTTTATGAACAAAACTCCCACCGATTATGGTAGGCATCTAGCAATGCTTTATAACCCTTAAGTCACAATGAAGATATACTCCAACAAACCCTTTTATAATTATACGCGCTGTATAATCAAATCATTCCGTTGTCTAATCCCAATTAAGAATGGATTCATGGTATGTCAAAATCCTTATATTAATTTTATATTAAATTGACAATCAATACATATGGAACGTGTCACCATGAAACAACCTTTTAAGTAACATTTTATATACCCCGGCTGGAGATTTCCCTCTTCCAATGTATCTTGACATTTATCTAAGAACTTGATATCAATCATATATACCAAGTCAACGGATCCCATCTTGACTATCACTTGTCCTCACACATAAACAACACATGGCCAAATCGGCTTATTAACACATGACATGATTAGCCTCGTGTTTATACACCATATGAACCATATGCGTTTATACAGAATCCAACCGTGATATCTCAGGTCTAAGGATTAATAATATACTAGTACGATCTTATGATAAATCATTGACTACATTTTAAATGTCCATGTGATTCATCATAAATGGTCATATTTGATAAACAGTTCACTAACCGCTTATCCATGTTAATGCCTTAGTGATATAACTTTCATAATCACCCACACTAGCTAATACTATCACATGATATTCTACGGAGGCATTCAGCATACCTATTATGTAATATTATTGCCCAATTCATATTACCTATGTAGGGAATACTTTGATGATTTTGATCTTCTAAAGTTTGTATCATCCGGACATTTCACATGTATAACATATATATAAATGAAGCAATAAACCACATGTGAAATAAGAATACTTTCTTCTATTGATAAGATAAGATGGATATAAAAAATATATACATTAACATATATATACAAAACATAATGTCTTGGAACCGACGACACGATTGATTCCTAGGGCATACACTAACACTGATTACCTCAATTTTCTTATGTATTGTAAGATTACTTGATTATCTTATTTTTGTTACAATCTTATCCCTTATTAATAAAAATTTTGGACAATAATGCCCTTGTTTTAAAATCAGTTTACATTAATCCACCATTACAAATACCCTTGCTTAATTAAGTTTTTGGACAATAATACTCTTACATTTAAAACAAATTGCAGACTACCACCGCCACCCAGCCACCACTGTCGGCCACCACTGGAAGTCGCCAAGAGGCTCCGATATAGTCGTTTCTGGCCATATTGATGGTCAAAACGGCCATATCGATTTAGATTTGGTCGGAAATGGCCAGATCTATTATGGCCATTAAAGGCCATGGATCTGGCCAGAATAGATCTAGCCATTTCCGACCAGATCTACTTCGATATGTTCGTTTTCAGCGATCAACATGGCCGTAAATGGCCATATCAACAACTCATGGCGACTCCCGGCAATTTCCAATGACTTTTGACAACTTTCGACGACAGAAAGTGGTGGTGGTGGTTGGCGACCAACAGTGGCTTGGGGTGGGTGAGGGTGATTTTTTTATAAATTAAAGTTTTATATAAGCTAGGGTGTTTTAGATAAATCTGAAATGTTGGGGGTCAAAAGGAACTATTAAGAAATTAATAACAAAATAATGTTATATTAATATTTAAAAAGAGGGCAATTTAGAAATTTAAACAACATGCCCACCAATTTATTCCTCCCAACCAAGCATATTAATATAACAAACCCACCAATTTCTTCCAACTAACTAAACACATTTTCCTAAAGATTCTTAGTAATCTTCAAAGTAATCTAACTTTCCATTAATATAATATTCTCAATAATCCAACATTCTCTGAACCAAACGCACCGTAAGAGTCTTTATTTCCTCTTAGTTGCTTGAAATTTCAAAATCTTCACATCACTATTTTAGGTTGGTAAGAAGCAATATCTTGAAAGTGGTGTGTGTGAAATGTTTGGTTGCCTATTTAACATCCATTTAAACAACCATAGGAGGTTTGTTTTCGTTGTTCTTAGACTTTTTTCGGACTTTGAGTGGGTGAAATTTATTTATGCTTTAATAAATTAACTTGTATTATTATTTTTGGATTTTATTGCTCAATAATAATGAAATCATTATCTTACACACACAAACAGATCACACAAATCTTGAAAATTGAATAGAAACTTAAAAGAAAAAAAAAAAAAAAAAGGATATTGTTTTAGAGAAGTAAATGTGGCGCCTATGTCGCAAAAGGAAGGGACAAGCGATCAGATTGAGACATTGCAAGCGGTGGCTTATTCACATTGTGTGTCCTACTACTCACATGCATATGCCTCAATGTGTTATGCTGCCCCATTCTTTGCATCTCAGGCACACATTTCACTGGATTTGGCCCCACACTCACCGCCTTCTCACATCGACAGCTCAACAACCCATTTCCTAATTTCTTCTTCCCGTTGCCGCCGCCGCCGTTCCGCACTATTGCCATATCATCTATTTCTGAAGCCGTAATCGAGAAATTAGTAACACTTCCTTTGTCAAATCCCTCAGCTGTTGTCACACTCCAATCAATGCTTGCCTCACTTGGCTCATAACATTCCATTGCTGCTATTGATGGTGTCACTGGCTCCTCTAGACTCCTACGACAATTATACATCAAACCTCCATTAATATTTGTGGCTATTAATCTTCTTGCATTAAAGCTTGAAGCCTCATCCAGTGAATCTCGACGATGGTACATTGGACATATTGTACTTTGAGTGGAAAAGCTCTCTATTTCAAACAAGTCAGAGCTTGCATCACTTGCAACATCGTCCTCAGTGATTCGAGTTCTGCTAGGACTCGCCGGAAACGTGAAACTATGACGTGAAACCAACATACCGTTTTGAAGTTCAGTTGATTTTCTTGAAACACTGGTTTCATCGGAAGGTTGGAAAATCTCCAGTGATTCTCGCGGCGGATCTTCAAGGGAAGGATATGTGATTTTGATGGGATGTGGTTTACTTTGTTTCAATATAGGAAAGGTGAAGCCAGTAGTAGAATCAGAATAAGGTCTCCCTGAAGCCAATACACGATGGCCTAAACCACGACTTGGAAAACGATTGTCAGCAGAGATTCTATGAGTAGTTTTGGAGATAACTTCACGCCTTTCGCTCCAGTTTGATGTATCCATAGCAATTTCAATAGACTTGTGGGTTTGCTTTTTGCTATATAAATGCGGTGGGGTTTTGGAATCTGAAACTGATACTGACAGCTTTTCCTCAACTTGAACTGATTTTTTGCCAGAGCAAGGGCACTTTCTCCCAAAAAGCCATTTAGGAGCTGGAGCTGGAGCTGGCCCTCTTTTCTGGTCGCGATCAGAAGTAGTATTTCGTAGAGAGACCGCAATTGTTCCAGGAGGATTTGACAAAAGACCAGTCTGGCTATTCCAACTAGCTTCCGATGAAGCAGTTGGTGTTGCATTTAAAGAACGAGCTCGATAGTTCCTCGCAAACCCGTCAACAGATGAAGCTGAAGAGAATCTCGGCACGGCAAGCAAATCACTTCTCTCAGATATACGTTCCAGACTAATAACATTAACTGGAGATACTCTCTTGCTCACTTTCGCCTCATTGACGTTGCTTTCGTTAAAGTACTTTTGGGCGTCAAAAATTCTTATTTCCGCATCGTCACCTTGATTGGAATCATCTGGTTTAAGATATGAGGAGAAAGATGAATCTCTGAGAGTGGTTTTTTTGGGAAAAATGTAAGGGAGAGAGTGGTCCATTAAATGAGAGATGGGTTCTTGAGATGAGTCGCCATTAATGGATTTGATCGTTGTTGACGTTTCCATCTTTCGGCGCGGAAATTAGATGTACGGAAAATATGAGAAAGAAACTATTCACTGGAATTTCTACTGAAATTCCATTCTTCTAGTATATGTATATGTAGAGTTGAGTACAGAACAGTCCAAGCATCAATCATTCAATGCTGTAAAAACTGTCTATACAAGTCAATCAATTAAAGCCCTAAATGTCAGAATTTTACCCAACGAAGAAAATCATATATCCGGCTACAATGTTTTCAAGGCATGGATAATTTTTTTTTTCCGAGTTAAACATTAAAATTTTTATTTTTAGTTTTTAGTAAAATTAATGTAAGCCAATAACTGAACAGTGATGCTAAGGTCATCACTATTCACTAGTGTTCATTGTTATATAGATCCATTCATTTCTTCCTAAAAAATCATCTTTACTATACACATGCAGTGCCGAATTTTCTAATGGCAAAACTTTGAAAAAATTATTTTAGGGATATTCTTCAAAATAGGAAGTAGAATCAAATATTGAATGAGAATTCTAAGGGAATAACGAAAGAAATGAATATGACTAAAATCCAATCCCAAACAGGAAAAAGATCTCAAATTCTCCTAAAACACCAACATTCCTCTTCTACCCGAATTCCTACCCTACCAAGGGAAGTAACCTCTTCAAATTCTCTTTACTTCACTATATGAAGGAAACTAATGGCATGGAATGATACATAATAATTCATACGGAAAAGCCTCATACTGACCATTCCAATTTAAAGTTGACCACAACCAATATTAGCCTCCGCCTCTTGTTATAACCCTGAGATCCCGTAGGAACTTTGTTATTTCTTGAAAGGGTGACACTGTAGTTGATGAAGGCTTTAGAGACACCAAGTCAAGGGCGGAACAAGGAGATCACTATGTTCTAAAAGGCAAGATTATCATCCTCTATTTGGTGCAAATTTTGGCATCAACAACACATATTCATTTTTCCTATTACATATTTGTAGTGTCCGAATTTCCACAGGGCTAAATTGTAAATGTCTCAACTGGATATTACTTGCACCCTAAGCAGGTGATCCAAGGGAAATTCTCATAACAAGAAGTAGAATCATGGTTTAAAGAGGAATCTAGAAAGACCAAGGAAGTTAAGTAATAATAGGGAATTGACTATAGCTTGGATTCATTCCAACTAGGAATTAGATCCCCAATTCTCCTAAAAGACTCATTCTCCTCATCCTACCCGATTTCCTACTCCTCCAAAGAAAGTATTCTCCTTTAGAGAAAAGAAGTAAGAAGAACTTCTACAAGTATCACAAAGAACCTGGACACACCAAGGTAGGTTGCTTTGACTTGAAGGGTTTCATTGAGACTCAAATTAGGGTAGGAAGGTTGTTTGACTTCATTGCGATAAAAAAACCAATAGAATATCGATCTACCCCCTACAACACCTGTAACCCATAGCGCCAAAGCCGAAGATGGGGATCATGTAGGTACCATATTTGGTGGCCTAACCCTCGCTAGAGACTCTAACCGTGGTAGGAAGAAGCATGCAAAGGAGTTGGAGGGACCAACATATTGCATGGGTATCTCAACCAACCACCAAACACCAAACACCAAACATGTTGTTAAGCCTTCATGTGTTTTGATGCGCCAAAAATAATCAGAAAGTTGATTGAAAACTAACAAACATGCAAAGGTATGAAAAGAGTCATAACCAAAACAAAAACGTAGTTTTTCCAAATGGTATGACTGTGCTAGAAGAAGGAACGACTGTTCCTAGTTTCTTAAGCTACCTAGATAAATACTCCACACAAAACGACCTCATTCCAGGAGATCGTTCATGCTTCTTCCAAAATCATGTCAAGTCGCTCCAAGTGGCACAACCAAGATGCATGACCGTTCCAACCAAGTCAAAAGTCATAGATGTTCAAATTCAAATGATCCTTTTACAAGTTTTAAATATCAATATCGAAGATCAAATTTGAAGTACAAGTGCTACAACCAAAATGATTAGAGGAAAAAAAAAAAAAAAGGGATATTGTTTTAGAGAAGTATATGTGGCGCCTATGTGCGCAAAAGGAAGGGACAAGCGATCAGATTGAGACATTGCAAGCGGTGGCTTATTCACATTGTGTGTCTACTACTCACATGCATATGCCTCAATGTGTTATGCTGCCCCATTCTTTGCATCTCAGGCACACTTTCACTGGATTTGGCCCCACACTCACCGCCTTCTCACATCGACAGCTCAACAACCCATTTCCTAATTTCTCTTCCCGTTGCCGCGCCGCCGTTCCGCACTATTGCCATATCATCTATTTCCGAAGCGTAATCGAGAAATTAGTACACTTCCTTTGTCAAATCCCTCAGCTGTTGTCACACTCCAATCAATGCTTGCCTCACTTGGCTCATAACATTCCGTTGCTGCCATTGATGGTGTCACTGGCTCTCTAGACTCCTAGGAATTATACATCAAACCTCCATTAATTTGTGGCTATTATCTCTTGCATTAAAGCTTGAAGCCTCATCCAGTGAATCTCGACGATGGTACATTGGATATATTGTACTTTGAGTGGAAAAGCTCTCTATTTCAAACAAGTCAGAGCTTGCATCACTTGCAACATCGTCCTCAGTGATTCGAGTTCTGCTAGGACTCGCCGGAAACGTGAAACTATGACGGTGAAACCAACATACCGTTTTGAAGTTCAGTTGATTTTCTTGAAACACTGGTTTCATCGGAAGGTTGGAAAATCTCCAGTGATTCTCGCGGCGGATCTTCAAGGGAAGGATATGTGATTTTGATGGGATGTGGTTACTTTGTTTCAATATAGGAAAGGTGAAGCCAGTAGTAGAAGATAAGGTCTCCCTGAAGCAATACACGATGGCCTAAACCAAGACTTGGGAAAACGATTGTCAGCAGAGATTCTATGAGTAGTTTTGGAGATAACTTCACGCCTTTCGCTCCAGTTTGATGTATCCATAGCAGTTTCAATAGACTTGTGGGTTTGCTTTTTGCTATATAAATGCGGTGGGGTTTTGGAATCTGAAACTGATACTGACAGCTTTTCCTCAACTGTTAACTGATTTTTTGCAGAGCAAGGGCACTTCTCCAATTCCATTTAATTCCAATTAGCAATTTAACTCTTAAATTATTCATAATAACTAATACAACCCTCCATTGAATCTAATTCAATGATAATAATATAAATAACTTTATTACTCTTGGTATGTGCTAGTCATCCTTGGATAATCAACTCTCTTTGGCTATTTCTCCATTCTCCATTCTCCTTAGTTTTTATGTGTGACCTCTTAGGTTCACTATGACCTAGCCGTTTGCCCAATATCATAGTTTATTTCAATATGTTTTATCATAAATCTTTATGAACAAAACTCCCACCGATTATGGTAGGCATCTAGCAATGTTCTATAACACCTAAATCACAATGAAGATATACTCCAACGAACCCTTTTATAATCATACACATTATATAATCAAATCCTTCCGTTATCTAATCCCAATTAAGAATGGATTCATGGTTTGTCAAAATCCTTATCTTAATTTTATATCAAATTGACAATCAATACATATGGAACGTGTCACCATGAAACAACCTTTCAAGTAACATTTTATATACCCCAGTTGAAAATTTTCCTTTTCCAATGTATCTTGACATTTGTCTAGGAACTTGATATCAATCTATACCAATTCAGCAGATCCCATCTTGACTATCACTTGTCCTCACACATAAACAACACATGGCCAAATCGGCTTTTTAACACATGACATGATTAGCCTCGTGTTTATACACCATATGAACCATATGCGTTTATGCAAAATCCAACCGTGATATCTCAGGTCTAAGGATTAATAATATACTAGTACGATCTTATGATAAATCATTGACTACATTTTAAATGTCCATGTGATTCATCATAAATGGTCATATTTGATAAACAGTTCACTAACCGCTTATCTATGCTAATGCCCTAGTGATATAACTTTCATAATCGCCCACACTAATACCATCATATGATATTCTATGGAGGCATTCAGCATGCATACTATGTAATATTATTGCCCAATTAATATTACCTATGTAGGGAATACTTTGATGATTTTGATCTTCTAAAGATTTGTATCATCAGGACATTTCACATGTAAAAAATATATATAAATGAAGCAATAAACCACATGTGAAATAAGAACACTTTCTTCTATTGATAAGATAAAATGTATATACAAAATATATACGTTAACGTATATATACAAAACATAATGTCTTGGAACTGACGACACGATTGGTTCCTAGGGCATACACTAACATTGATTACCTCAATTTTCTTACGTATTGTAAGATTACTTGATTATCTTATTTTTGTTACAATCTTATCCCTTATTAATAAAAATTTTGGACAATAATATTGTTGTTTTAAAATCAATTTACATTAATCCACCATTACAATTTTACCTTTGTTTAATTAAGTTTTTTGACAATAATACCCTTACATTTAAAACAAATTGCAAACCACCACCGTCACCCAGCCACCACTTTCGGCCGCCACCGGAAGTTGCCGAGAGGCTCCGATATGGTTGTTTCTAGCCATATTGATGGTCGAAACGGCCATATCAAAGTAGATTTGGCCGGAAATGGCCAGATCTATTATGGCCATTAAAGGCCATGGATATGGCCAGAATAGATCTAGCCATTTTCGACCATATCTATTTCGATATGTCCGTTTTTAGCCATCAACATGGTCGTAAATGGCCATATCAGCAACTCATGGCAACTCCCGGCGATTTCCAGCGACTTTCGGCAACTTTCGACGACAGAAAGTGGTGGTGGTGGTTGGCGACCAACAGTGGCTTGGGGTAGGTGAGGGTGATTTTGTTATAAATTAAAGTTTTATATAAGCTAGGGTGTTTTAGCTAAATCTAAAATGTTGGGGGTTAAAAGAAACTATTAAAAAATTAATAATAAAATAATATTATATTAATATTTAAAAATAGGGCAATTTAGTAATTTAAACAACATACGCAC